GGGTTGAAGGCAATTTGGTGATAGTTTGAGCCTTTTTTTAACAAACGGTTGGGGTTTATTTTTATAAATTTAATGTGAGCCATTTTAGAAAAGTGAGTTTGTCACAGTTCCTGTGCTAATTATTGCTTATCGCTCCAAAGAAGCAGAAAGAAAGCACCTCAAATACTGTTTCTTACTTCTGAAAACAGCAGCTGTTGGTAGAAGTCAGGTGGGAAAAAATGATTGTCAAACATGTCATTTTAACATGCGAGCTGCAACAGATAACTTCTGCCTCTTACTTTCTCTTATAGTAAATGGCTGATTTTGACTTGACTATGATAACTGCTTCCTTTAAAGGACTTCTTTTGCCTCTCTGTCTTTCCCCTGAGCCAAAACCGCTGATGCTGGAAACAGTTTTCCTCTTCCATCTGTTCAACAATATCATACCTTCCTTCACCCTGGGAATTGGCTTCCTGCCGTGTCCCAACTACTTCATTTTTTTCTTTACTCTTAAGGCTCTTGATTATCTCATTCTTGCTCTAATTTTTTCCTCTCCTTTGTCTTCTTCATGCTTTAGTTTGCTTCCTTTCCCACTATTTGCTTCATTTCTTCTTTCCATAGAGGACATTTGAAATTACCTTTTCTTGCTTGGCAAGTGTCTCCACAGAATGTCTGTCTTCCCTTTCTTCCACTAACGCTTCCCACATTTATCTCCTTTACTGGACTATTTTCTTGACCTCATGTAGTTATTTACATAAGAAGGAAATAAGTCTTTTTTTCTGGATGTCACCTTCCATTAATTTTACATTAAATTGAGTGACTGCACAACATGAATCACAGGGAATTATTTTCTATACTCTCTAGTATTTGAAGCATTGTACCATTGTTTATTCTCACTTTAGACTTTGTAAGGAACTTTCTTCCTACTGGGGAACAAAATCTACACCTGTATAATTAAAACCATCCTGTCAACACAAATGTTGACAGTGGTGGGCTTAAGACCCAAATGGTAGTGTGTGACCCACCTCTTATTTTAAAGGCATGTGTTCGACAGTGGGATATAACTGTTCTTAGAACTTCTGGTTTTCAGTTTTAACTCTATGCCTCACAAAAACTGGAAGTGTTTCACCACCCCGTTTCCTTCTGCTGAGTCCAAGCTAATGAGTGGAACACCAAAACAAAGTTTCCTGATTTTTGGCACTCACTTTTTTTGCTTTCCTTTGATATCTGTCTGTCAGTTTTAAATCCTTTGCTTCCATCTCTGATGAATCTTTCTTATAAAGTATTGTAATCTCTCCTTATTTGGAAAAATCAATACCTGACTTAATGCCACCAGCTATGATTGCGTTATACTGATGAGCTGGATCCAGGGCTTCGTGCTCACTCTCTGTTTCTCACTGTCCCCCATACTCATCAGGATTTAGCACTGTAACATCTCTCCCATGTCCCCTTATTGTCTTTGTGACAAGGAACTTAATCATCCTAAATAGCACACAAGCGACTGAGTACTTGAGAGTGCTTTTCGTACTGATCTGCCCCCTGATAGACAATCCAACACAGCTGGGCCGTCTCCAGTGTTTAATTACCTTTGAAATTAAAATTTGCAACTAACTTATAGTCTGAACTGGGTCACCTTCCGTTTGCGGTTGTTGCATATGATGAGACCTTCATTTGTTAGACAAGTGAGCCTACTATTATTTTTTTTTTTTGCCTGTGTATGTGCTTACACAGTAAGTCCAGTTTTTTCTTAACCTCCCTCTGAGCTAAACCGATTGGATTGTAGAATCTCTCAGCTATCTTCCAATTCCTACGCTGTAATCATTGTCATTTTACTTTTCTGAATAGTTTTCATCAATTTGTAAGCTTTCTTCTTGAAACAGCAGCAGAGGTAGATACCTTATTCCATGTTGGTCACTACCAGTGCTCATTATGTAGTAACATGACATTTTAACAGGTTGAATCTAGTCCAGTTAATTTAAACATCTACATTTTGTGCCCCAGATTTTAGCCGATCAATAAAGCTGTCCCGAAGACAGTGTCCAACATAGTCCTTATAGAGGAAGAGGGTCCTTTGGGGGCCTCTAGGGAAGATTGATATGAATTAGAAGCTTTAAAAATCTGGTGTCTTCATTACTGTGTGTGGAATTTGGTTTATACTTGAAGATAGTGCCTGATTTTTACTGAAAAAGTTCATGAACAGTTTATGTGCCTAATTTAGGTGTACTGGATCACATATTGATTAACAACCAGGAAAATGAACTACTAGAAGTTGCCTGAATCCCAACTCAAACCCGTGGTCCACTCTGTGAGTGGGTACAGTATATTAGCATAGTCCCGTTTTCTCTGCTGTTAAGAGGCTTTCATTCAAATCCAAGGCACAGAAAAGCTCCACATTAACATTAATTCTGAGTTTTTAAACCTCTTCTCCCAGTTCCTCTGAGTTTAGGGTTGCCAAACATGGAAGAGGAGTATAAAACTGAGAAATATTCACTAATACGTATTTACATTAATTGGGATCTCCTGTTCCTCTACAGATTCATAATATCAAACTCTTATCAGGATTTAAGAGCATCCCACCAGTTATAGCTTGGAAACTGCCACCAGCACTGACTCAGACCTTGCAGATTTCTGAAGATGTGTAGAGCAGAATCACGTGTGGGGCAAAAGTCATCCAGCATGCTGAAACACCATGGTCTCTGTCTGACCCGATCTGTGCTCTAGCTTTACAGCAGCGTGTTTCACATCATGGTTGACTGGCACCACAGTCCACAATGAAAACCCATCCATGGCTCCGTAACTCTGCCTTGAAAATCTGCCTCCTTTGTATAGTTTGGCAGTATTCAATGTGACTAACAGCCTCTGTCTGCTCGGGAGAGCTGTAGGCCTGAGTCAATATTTAGACGAGAGAGCTGAATCAAACCGCGCTGTGTAAGAGAGTTTACTCTGCGGTTCACTGTGAGCTGCGGGTTAAGAACTCGGTCTTTAAAAAAGGCTAATTCAAACCTGCTGGGATAAACTCTGTTCCTGGGGCTGAGGGAGGGAAGATGGGCTGTGGGAGGGGGAAGGTCTCTGAGGACCAAATGAAATGTTCCTTCCTCGGGTGAGACTACCAGCCCATCACTCTGTGGCCCCTACATCAACCTCCGGGCTTAGAGCCAGTTCCCCAGCTCCTGTTACCAACTACATATGCGGATCAATGGGTAAGCAGGTTCTCACTGTTACAGAGCCATCAGCCCCTATCCCAAAAGAGTATGCTACTGGGCCTCCTTGGAAATTGCCATGGAGTTGTGCCCTGAAATGCAATAATATGATGCACCTACAGCTAGAAAAGGGGCCTGAAATCCTGGCTCCTTCCTCATGAAACCATAACATCCTGCAGCCAAGGGCCTTGGTGTGGTGATAGCAGGCAGCATCATTCATTCATAACATGGGATCCAGAGACTAAATGCTGCCACTGCAGGGACTGAAGTAAACTGCCAGAGCAAACACCAGTTAGTGAGTCTATTAGATTGGACTGTACAAATTAAACTTCAGGGAGGGTTGAAATCGGAGAAGGAGACTAAAGTGTCATTCCCTTGTAGTGTCTCATAGCGCTTTCCCAAGGTAAAATCTAGTATATTAAAATGAAGCAATATGAACTGCGTCTTTGGGAAAACCATACTACACAATCATATCAAGAAAGGCTAATAATCACTTATGCCCATTATCCTGTGAAAACCCACCCAGCTCTTAAATCAGGCGTTTCGTTGAGGGACTTTCCATGTTGTAAGCAACAGGTGGCAATGCAGCTTCCCAGGGCTGATCCCAGGCCAGAGAAGAAGATCTGTACGTCCCACATCATGGAGCTCGTCCAAGGCTGGGATGGCTCCCACGAGCCCCTATGCTGAGCAGAGCAGGGTTTAGCCTCCAGTTTTCTCACACAGGTCATGTTTTGCACTGAGTCCCTGGCAGGGTGGGCCAGCATTTCCCGAGGCTGCCCAGCTGCTTGGAGACACTGTAGCAGGGGGACGAGGTCTGCCCAGCCCTGAGGCAACCCCAGCTGCCTGAAGGGCTTGTATACTTATTTCCGTGGCTGTTAGTTCTGGCAACTGGAGTGTAGGGGGGAAAGTAGCCTTGTGATATCAGAGATTGTGATCTTGATATTGTCATAGTGACACGGCTGTGCTAATCTCAC